TCTATCTCTGACCATACAAACCATAGTCCCTCTAACATTATAAAGGTTATATTGGAGAAAACATGCAGTATGGAGTTATTTCAAGCCCTAGTAGAAGAATCATCACAAGATCCTTGATGTTCTGAAGCAAGGACATACCTTCTATAGCAGAAATGTATGCACTATTCAAGAAACAGATCCTGACATGCTATTAGGCTCTAGTATGGGTGTGACCCTTAACTAAGAGGCAGCAGGTGACAATGTATCACATTTTTGACTGAGTTCTATCAGACCAATAAATCATAAAGTTGGGCACACCTGGCAGTAGTCCATCATAAGATGGAAATGGCACATATGTGATCGAATCCAAGCCGCATCAGAGTACATGACTAAGATATATGAGTAGGTAGCCCAGACCCACATATCACCGACCATAGTTAGAAAAGCTCACCCTAATTTTTCCTTGAAGATAAATAATCATGCCAAGCTTGATTTACAACGAATGAGCTTGGTATGTAGACACAGCTGAAAATGGATAGTGACTGCACTACAATTACATGTAGGGGTGGCTTTGAACGAGAGTAGTGAGGGAAAATCTTCCCAGTGGATGGGACTTCAAGTAAGGCATCTAGTCCATTTTGTTTTGATCACATTGGGTGGAGAGAGAAGTGGCCTGAGGTGATAATCTATGCAGACTCATGGACAGTGACAGTGGGTCAGAGACCTAAAAGGAAAATGACTGGAGAATGAGAGACAAGAAGATCTGAAGTAGAGGCATCCGTTCAGATTAACGGAAGTGGGCATCAACTGTGAATATTTTTCTATCACATGTTAATGTCTATCACAAAGCATCTACCATTATAGAGGCACTAAACCACCAAATAGACAAAGTGCTTTTGTAAGTTGACATCACTCGGCCTTCATCATCAGCCACACTACAATGGGTATAAAGGACACACGATTGAAGTGGTCTTGATGAGAGTTGGAGGCTATACATAGGCCAAGCAGAATAGATTTCCTAAGCCCATTCTAGTTATTCTTGCCTCTGAACGTGCAATATACCAGTGATAGACCACTGGTCCTCAAGAGACCAACCAGTTACTTAATGACAAGCTGACTACATTACATCCCTTCCAGACTAGAAGGGCCATTGGTTCATTCAAACAAGAAGGGAAAATATATTCCAAGTATGATTATAGAAAGCAAACATAACTACCCAGAGTCTTATTCAGTGCCTGATACATTGGCATAAAAGCTGACTCATTAGAGCATCTAACCAGAGGACCTACTTCACTGTGAAGAGGGTATGAGAATGATATTATATACAACACCAGCATGTTAAGAAGACTCCAGACTGTTAGCATAGGAATGGCTTGCTAAAATATAGATGAAGTTACAGCTTGGAGAGACCATATGGAAAAAATTTAGGTGTTATACTCCAGGTTGCAGTATAATCATGAATCAGTAACCTCTGTAAGGCACTATGCCCCCATTAAGAAGAACATATGAATGTAGGAACGAATGATGAATGTAATAGTGGCCCTTTATCCACTTCTCGTCATGACCCAAGAGACATTGAGTTTTCTATTTTTCCAACACTGGACTTTGCAGGGTTAGTCTTGCTCCCCAAAAGTGGTAGGAAGTACTCAGCTGAGACTATACTGTAGGCCCTGGTCATTTTGATCTTCTTGGGTCTAGGAAACAGTAGACTAGAATAACAGTCACCATCTGTCAGGGGTAATTGAGGCTGATCAGCAAGACTACTGTCACAAAACAGAAGGGAGCAACGTGTATTGAATTTCAGTGGTTCTTTGGTAATCCCGTGCCTACATGTGACTTTCAATGGACAAATGCAACTATACTGACCTGAGAGTGGTGTGGTTACCAGTATATTAGCCTCTTGGGAAAGAAAGCTTGGGTCATACCACTGGATAAGCCATCAAGGCCTATAAAGGACGTGGTTTAAGATAACAAAAGGATAGGGAGGAAGGAGATAATAAGTACCAGTTGTAAGCAACCAGACTAACTAAAGCAGTAGGGACTACTGTTAATCCCACAAACTTCCCTCTTTCAAGTATTTCTTAAGAAAGAGAAGCTGACAGAAACCATGGGAGAGTTGTTTCCACATATGGAGAAGTAGATCTGCATAGTGCAAGGAGTAAACTGTAAAATGCAGCCATGTAAATGCACACCTCAGATCTTTATTCAAGAGGGAACCTACCAGAAGGAGTGCATTTAACTAACCATCTTCAGCTGCAGTGCCTTTGAGATCCATCATAGCATCTGAGCAGGGGCTATGGTCTTCCTGGGAAGCTCTTAGACAATGATACAGCAGAGGAGGTTCTAGAGTTTAGCCTTTCTGCCCCAGGCAGGAAGAGAGTCTTTTCATCTGGGTTCCCACTGGATTAGTTGAGACTTTCTCAGAGCTACACTGCAGTGTGAGGTCCTCTCTACCCTGTCCTTCCTCCTGCTCCCTTATTTTCACAAGTGTTCAACTTGCATTGCCTTCCGAAGGCTTTCATTGCCAACTTCTGCTTCCTCTTCCCATTGTCTTACACAGTGATTAACCCTAATAAATCTCTTGAACTTGCAACTCTGCCCTGGTATCTGACGCCTGGAATACCTGACCAGATATAGATGTGGTTCCTTCTTAGAAACAGACTTGTTGAATGGTGCTAGCTAAATAGAGTAATACTGGACACCACAATGTTTTTTAAGGGATGAGCACATAATAATCCTTCTGATTTCAGATCTAAGAAAAATATTCAAACAGAAATCAAGTAATACTCTCTCTCTCTCTCTCTCTCTCTCTCTCTCTCTATGAGAGAGAGACAATCTCTATTACCTATGACAATCAAAGTAAAAATATTCACTTTATCTACTGGTAAAGAGTGTGTTGGAGAGTCCACTCCCTATACAAGTTTTAGTAAATAGATTATGTTGCTTTCACCAATATATCACAACCAATTAGCACAGTGTTACAAAATAACTACTGAACTTTTGAACTAATTGTTGAAAGAATAAAGCATACTATGAGACTTAAAAAATATTTTGTTACATAAGAGGTTGGAACTTTGCAAATAAAATGTCCAAATTCAGTGCAGAAAATATATGATATTTTTCAAAGTCTCTAATTATTATTTGTTTTAAATGGAAGAAAACTAAATCTATGAGACAAGTTATGGATGAAATAGGAAGACAAGAACAGAATCAAAAGGGAATTGGATAACAGCTGGAAAAAAAGAAAAGGTGCTTGATGAGTAAAAGAAATATCAGTAAAAATTAAGAATGGAATAGATGAATTAAAACTCACAGTGGAAGCAGATTTTTAACATCAAAGGTGATGGGAAAATTCTACAAGCATCTCATAAGTGAGGGGAAGATTTTAGAAATAGAAAGGAAACAGGCCTTACTCTTCTCTTCCACAAAATTCAAAAAAAATCATAAAAAGGATAGCATCTAGTTGTTCTGTTTACTTTTTTAGGGAAAGATGCGGCAACCCAAACAACAGGAAAAATAAAAATAAAAGTTATAAGAATATAAAAAGAAACTATGGGGCCATTCTCGATCTAAGAGTTGAGGAAACAGATTCCACTCGTTGAATAGGAGAAGTAGTAAATACTTTGTGGTCATTCTTTAAAAATCTAACCCAGAAGTTAAAAGTCTACTTATTCACTTAAAACACTGGCAGTCATTACCATATTTCAGTATGTTTCCTGGGAGCTAGTACATATGAACGTTGGCAGAATGAACCTCCAGTGTGATTTTTTTTTTTTTCTCAAAAATGCCCTCAAAGCTTGTGTTTCAAGTGTAGAGAGCGAATAGTGTTGCTGCAGTTATTTACGTGTCCTGCCAACTGCTCAAACCATCACACTGGAATTGTTCGTGACAGTCATTGATTGGTAGGGGGTGGTATTTCAGAATGGCATTATGTTAGTCCACGGTTTTGGAGTCTGGGAAGTGGAAGATCATGGCCCGGACAGATTCTGTGTCTGTAGAGAGGCCGCTTCCGGGGCCATAGGTGGTCAACTTCTCAGCGTGTCCTCACATGGCAGAAGGTGCTAGAGAACTCTCCGAGGTCTCTTTTACGAGGACACGAATCCTGTTCATGAGGGCTTCACGCTCATGACCTAATCATCTCCCAAAGGCCCCACCTTCAAATACCATCACACACATTAGGTTTCAACATACAAATTTGGAAGGGGACACAGACATTCAGTCTGTAGCAGGCGTACTCCACATGTGACATCTTGAAAAATAATTCATGAAAAAAAATCTACAGCTATTCTAGTATTTCACTTGCAGTTAGTATCTGAGCCCATCAGGCAGCAACATTTGTGGACTGTTTATAATGAAATGTTCAGGGCGCCTGGGTGGCGCAGTCGGTTAAGCGTCCGACTTCAGCCAGGTCACGATCTCGTGGTCCGTGAGTTCGAGCCCCGCGTCGGGCTCTGGGCTGATGGCTCAGAGCCTGGAGTCTGTTTCTGATTCTGTGTCTCCCTCTCTCTATGCCCCTCCCCCGTTCATGCTCTGTCTCTCTCTGTCCCAAAAATAAATAAACGTTGAAAAAAAATTAAAAAAAAAAATAATGAAATGTCCTACTTAGGATGAAAGTATACAACTTTGCACAGTTGTTCATTCAAAAGTGCATGGCATACATGACAGGCCTCTTTATAAAGGCCATATTATGATAACGATATTACTTATTAAGGCCATTGTATTATATTATTATTATTCCTTGGGACTGGTGCTACTTTTTTTATGACTAGCCAGCTGCTTAGTTATGAATCTCCCACAAATCATTGTTTGAGCTAGCAGTATCCTCTCCTGCAACATTAAAACAAAACACTTTTAATGTGTTAATGTGGTTATAAGTCTAGAGACTTTTTGAAAGTGGCAGGATGTGGCCTCTGGGAATTAAGCGGAGGACCAAACAAACATCTTCATAAAGTTTGACACATTTTCCCCAAATGCAAGCTGAGACCTGAATAGGGCAGTCCTATAGACAGTGACTTACATACCTGTAGCACATATAGACTTGGATCTTTGATTTTGGTGTAATTATCCAATCAGTGACTTCTCGAATCTTCCCAGGTGTATTCATTTGAGTTTTAGAGACAGCAATGAAGCCAAGTGATGATCTCCCTCCTTATTATTGATGGAAACCATGGTGCCTGGTCTTCTAAAGCAGTAGGACTAATCAAGGACTTTTCTTCCTGCACCTAAACATGAATGGATGCAATGAAAAGGGAAAAGTGACAGCTGGGAAGGACATGTCAGTTTGTCTTAGAGAAATACAGACCTTCCTCAAATTATAAAGAGTTATTATGTTCAGCCCAAATCGTATGCTAAGGAAAGAGAAAATGACGCTTAGAAACAGAGATAGTGATAGGCTGTGTGCTGAAAGCTCAGAGCCTGGAGCCTACTCCTGATTCGGTGTCTCCCTTTCTTTCTGCTTCTCCCCCATTCATGCTCTGTCTCTCCCCATCTCTCAAAAATAAATAAATGTTAAACTTTTTTTTTTTTTGAAACAGAGATAGTGACAAAGTAAGACAGAGTGAGCATGAGGGAGAGGGCAAGAGAAATATTCTATGTATAGAATGAATTCCTAGTCTGTTCTCCACATAGCCCAGGTATTTTTCCTACATTATGATTAATCTTCCAAAAATAATCCTGCAAATTAGGTATGATTGTATTCATTTTACAGATGAGTAAGCTGAATTGTTAGAGCTGACACCAAACCTTGAGCTATTTCTACTATAACTTGCCACCTTCCTAATTAAAGTGATTACTTTCTTCCTAACGAGTCCAATAGCTTCCTTACTCATCTACGTTTATCCAGAATCTCCTATCTCCACTTAATTGTTTATGTCATGACTAGATTTATTTTACTAAAATCCTGCTTTCATCATGTCTAATGAAGGGGTCCAAAGCAAGTCTCCCCAAAATACACCACTTTGGCATAAAGATTATTTTAAGCTAAAAGTAATCAAAATCAGCTTGTTCAAGAAAATCTCTTGAACTCCCCCTCAACTGCCTAAATTTACATCAGAAAGGGGGCCTGTACCAGGAAGACTGTTATTACCAGAGATTCCTTTTTACCTAAGGAACATTTCTGCATAACGGGGCAAATTCTGTTTTCCAAATATCTCCTCTTACCTTCTTGCAAATAACACCCCTCCCCTTTCTATCTCCAGATCCCCAACCTTTTCCTTAGCTCAGAAGGTCATGCAAGCTTCAGTTACTTGGATGCTCTTAACATTTTACAGGTCGCCTGCACATAGGTAATTCAAGTTGTTTTTCTCCCGTTAATCTCTCTTAGGTCAATTTAGTTATTAGACCCACCAAAGAACCGAAAAGGGAAGAAAAGAAAATTTTCCTGCCCCTACACTGGGCTGAAACACTGAAATGGATGTCCAAATCCCAAAAGATAAAATAAAAACTCCCATATATGAACTTTCCACAGTCTGAACTCAGGTACTATGCTTTGACTACTTGCTGGAAATGAAAATCATTCCCTCTCTGCCCCCATAATTCACTTCTTAAAGAACTATAGGGGAGCAGAATTTGCCACCCCAAAGCATGCCTCTCTGGTATAAGGAATATTTTTGGCTGATTATTTTTAAGTAACTGCAAACACAAAACAAGCTCTGAAAACCAAGCCAAAGTTGCCTTCTTGAAGGAGACATTTACACGTGTAAGGGAAATCTCCATTTGCAAGTGTGTGTTCCTGGCTGTACCAGAAAGAGGGGGATGACCACACATTTCCAGAAACTCTTATCAACGGAGAAGGCAATTTCAATCTGCACAACACCCTTACCCTTTTAACCATGCTTTTTTTGTTGTTAACCTCCCATAACTGACTTCCCACCCTTAACGTCTTAATATGTCTTTCACTGAAGATGGTAATTAAGATGATAGCTTCAGACACTGGGGAAGATGCTCCGTTTTCTTAAGTCTCTCCCATGTAGACAGTGTAGAGGCTGCTTTTAGGCAACCAGCTTGAGCAGTGGAAACCTGTGTAAGGTACAAGGGCCCACAGTGACCCCCTGGCTGAATAGAAACAGGCCTATTAGGCAACCCACTTTGAAATACCCATAAGCCATACCTGAGCAAAGGATTACTTACACCCAGGCACAAGGTACCCAAAAGGAAAGTTCCAGACATTCTCATTCCTTCTCTCCCTCCCCCTTAACTACAGTCCCCCTACCAGAAACAGTCTTTCCTTTGCTGTCCTGTCTGCTGTTCCCTTATGGTGTAATCAATAAATGTCTGTCTACTTTGTTCTGTCTTAGGTGAATTCTTTCACTGCCCAAGCCACCAGCCCCCATCTTATCAGGTCACCCCACATACAAAAGGTATACATGTTATTAAAATTTTGTTGATTTTTCTCCTGTTAACATGTCTTATATCAACTTAATTATTAAACAAGCCAAAGAACCTAGAACAAAAGAAGGGAAGACTTTTTTGATTTCACTCCCCTAACCACTTGGGCTGCGAATGACATGAACACATCCACATTTGTACTCCACAATTGATGGAATCAGAGAAAAACACTGGACAAATCCTGGGCCTCTGAATTTTATTTCCTAGAAATTTGGACCTGGACCTGTCTCTTAAAAACCTGGACTATGAAGTGATGTATATCCGAGACTGGGGCCAAGGAACCAGTGTAAAAGAGAAGGTTCATGTTCAGAGACAGGAAGAAAAATCCTTCCGCTGAAAAAAAGTAGGAATGAAAGACCATGTAGAGAGACAGGAAGAGACTCCTTTGTTCTGCTCCTTAGGGCTTTTAAATTTTTTTTTTCAACGTTTTTTATTTATTTTTGGGACAGAGAGAGACAGAGCATGAACGGGGGAGGGGCACAGAGAGAGGGAGACACAGAATCGGAAACAGGCTCCAGGCTCTGAGCCATCAGCCCAGAGCCCGACGCGGGGCTCGAACTCCCGGACCGCGAGATCGTGACCTGGCTGAAGTCGGACGCCTAACCGACTGCGCCACCCAGGCGCCCCTGCTCCTTAGGGCTTTTAAATGTCCTGTTCTAGTCCCTCCAGTCCATGCATTCTCAGTGGTGACCATATTGTTTCCAAGGGGATAATTGGTTATTGGGGAGAAGAGGGAGGGTGACCCTCCCAAAAAATTTTAGATTTTGAAATTTGGAATTTCTCTTCTGAAAAGAAAACCAGCATTCTAACTTCAGTTGTAGAAGTTGATTAGTAGACAGTTGACACAATAATCAAATTTTTTTATACAATTATAATTTTGTTTTCAAATAAAAACAGAAAAGATTAGTATACAAGAAAAGAAGCAGAGAAATAAATGATGGAGAAGAAAATAAATCCCTCCATTCCCTTTCTCCTCTTTCTTCTTTGTTAACAAAAATACTGATCCTCACATTGACCCTGTAAGCTATGTTATTATTATCTATTTAACAATGAAAAGATGAAACGCAAAGATATTAAGACACAAGAGGGTAAACAGCTAATGTCCTAATTATCGGAGCCAAGATTTAAATGTGTGACCAAGTGGTTCTAAATCCCATGTTTCTTTCTGACTCAAACACACCGGTTCCCAGAAACCTGTTCCCTACAAAAGAAATTTTCCTTATTCCACTCAAGCTTCATAACATCAATTCTCTATGAGACTTGAATTTATGGTAATGAATTCCCTTATATGCCTACATTTCCATTCTTTCTTATTTCATTCAGCCCATAAGCGAAGTAATTTACGGTAAAGGCAAGAGTAACATTTACCCTTATGTTGTTTCAGGACAAAGTCATTTCTCTCAGGAAATATATAATATAGTACAGATATTAAATATGCTAAATGAATTCTTACTTATGTTTAAGCACAAATGTAAGGTAAATTTTAAAGGGAAACAAGTGTCTTGACTATGTCAAGCACTTTTGTAACCCACCTCCCTCCAGAAAGGGAAGGTATTCCAACTCCACACGCATGGGGCCCCTTCTGTGCTCATCATAAGATGATTGTTCTGCCTCCCATGCAGCTTGTCTTAGAATCATGATAACATAATCAACAGTATAAAATACTGGAAACTCAGACTACTGCCACAAAATTCAAAATTTTTTTAATTTTTATTTTTGAGAGAGAGAGAGAGAGGGAGAGAGCGAGCAGGGGAGGCACAGAGAGAGAGGGAGACACAGCATCTGAAGCAGGATCCAGGCTCGGAGCTGTCATGCAGAGCCTAATGCAGGGCTCGAACTCACAAACCTGGAGATCATGACCTGAGCCCAAGTTGGACGCTTAACCACCTGAGTCACCCAGGCGCCCCACACAAAATTCAATTATTAATTGACTCCAGCTTCTGTCTAAAAACCACATGAGGCAATACGTGCGAACATGGAACAATGCCTTTCTCCAGGGCACCATATTAAAAGAGTAGGTGACCCATATCAGATCCTTATGGAGTGCTTCTTAAATAAGAAAGCAGGTTGTCTACCTCCTCCTAATTTCACTGAATCCTAGTCTGAAAATTAGGTTTGAGAATATGTTCCTTAACAAGACATCCAGGTGATGCTGATACCTGTTCATCCACTTGAGGTTTTCCAGCATTTTCTTTTTACACATGTTAGCAGTTACAGAAAGCAATACATACAGATGACATCAGTTCTATAGAAATAGTATCGACTGAATAAAAATTTATCATGCAGCTTTACTTTGCAAACTCTATGGATTTAAGAAATGTCTCCTAAATGTGTATTTCAAAAATAGGTACAAAGTGGTAATTCGACTTGCCATCCATTATGTTACTCAATTATCTTTTGATGAGCAACCTTTTCCCTAGTTTCATTTCTAGGAAAGCAGTTTGTCTCCCTTAATAAAAGAAAATGTTTACTGTGAGGGGTCAACAGGAACTAAGTAACTCATTATCTAGATTATATAGTCAACTGTAATATACGAATCATCAAAATATGGGTCAATTACTACTCCAGGTATTGGAGATACAAACAATGTAAGACAAGGCCTCCATTAATGATATATCATAAACATATACAATCTACAAAAGAATTTGAGTTTCTTTTTCTTGCTTTGATTATGAAAAAGGCCATAAGTAAATTGCAGCCTTCCAGTTTCTGCTCTAACATGTGAAGAACTTAAAAACCTTCACTCCCATCTTTGCAATAAAAAAAAAATAATAAATAGGGGTGCCTGGGTGGCTCAGTCGGTTGAGTGTCTGACTTCAGCTCAGGTCAT